AGAGAAGGAAAGGTGTTTCAACAAGCAGAACCTGTATCCAAATAAGGATTAGAGCATGAACTCTAACCCACTCAACCACTGAGTAAGTAAGCGTGATGTCCCTGCTGGACAAGTAGAACTAGCTATCATGTGGATAAAAAACTAACCTGTTTTGTAAAAGGAAATAATGCTTCACACTCAAAAGCCCATAAAAAAAGGTTCAATCTAGAGAGGATTGCAAATAGCTGCTTATGACCACTTATGACAGCTGGTCACTTTGTGGTAAGACAGAATGAGAAATTAGCCATTGGTAAGAACAAAGGAACATTTGTAGAAAAAAATGCCAACTATACATATACAGTGGTGGTCTCCAAGTTATCTATTACCACCCCAGAACGAAAAATGAGTCAGTCATTGTAATAACTTTTATTAAAAACAAAAAAAAAAATTAAAATCAGCAGCTCAAAACTCAGCCACAGTTAAACGACAAAAAGGAAGAAACAAATTAGAAAATACAAGTTATACTGAGTTGCTTTTTCTGCATCTAAAACACAACATGTACTTCAGAAACCATACATTAACAATCAGAAAAACTATTGAGAAAAGCAAAGCATAATCCAAAGTACAAAGAGTATTCACTTTGAAAAAGTATGGGGATAAAAGACTTAATGTTTTGGGAGAACTGACAACTGTTCCCTTAAGAGGTTTTGCATCTTAAAACTACTCTGATCTTCTATCATGTATGTTGTCTCTCAGCATTCACCACTACTCACTATCATGAGCATAATACTGTACTACATGGACCTTGACCTTGGGTAACTGTTCTTTTTTTTTAAGTTATGTTACACAAAAATATTTAATACGTTCAGCCTCCTTGAAATACAGAAGGATAGCACTAAGTCTACAAGGTACTGTAGAAAGTCACCTTCTTCAGCTACTGCACTGGCCAATATCCCGATCCGGGGTTCTCCACTCCAGAGATTACAGCATTGTAAATTGTTTTGAAGTGTTACAGATTAAAAAATTATTTGTGGCATAGTGGAACACCACCAAACAAACAATACTTGAAGTAATGACCTCCTGAAGTGGCCTCTGTATTGCCTAACACAACTGTAAAATATAATTCAGGGAAAGCAGTCCAAAACAGCTGGAGAGCTGCTGTACATAAGCTATCAGGACAGTGTTAGAAGAGCTGCTGTACAAAGAGATGCTCGCAAGCTCAAGAGCCGCAATCTAGACCACAGTGAACCATGTGGAAGAAAAGGGACATGTATTTCAATTAATCTCTTCAAGCAGATTCTTGTATTGGGAGTTTCATCACCATCACACAGGTAACACTCTGGTACTGCTGATGACAAGCACTGTAAGACATGACGAAAGGTACCTGTAACCGAACAGCATTGCTGCAGGCTTCAGAAGAACAGGTGGGACATGCACACAATCCTCAGACTACCCAACACATCTGGTAAACAATTTCAAACACTGGAAATTCAGGTCAAAGTTCTCTTTGTTCATCCAGTCTGATTTTGATTCTGAGGTGTAAGGGCTACAGAGGCCCTGGAGAGTAGTGGGAACCTGACTGACCTCTGAGCAAATCTCTCTGCTTACACGTCATCCTTCTGAGCACTATTTCACTTCAAAAAAGCATAGGCGGGGAGCACACACAGAGGAAGATCCCCAAATGCTAGCTACGAAAAGAGGCAGGTCTCTGTAAATTAGGAAGTCTGAGGTTTCAGTGTAATTTCTGTAAAAAGAGAGGGGCAAAATGAAGGCAAGTTAGAAGAGTCAGGCCAGAAGAAAGTTGGCGGGCGAATTACATGGTGCGGCTCTCACTGTGAAGCTGCTGGTGGTGTTCCTCTAAATCTTACAGCCCACCACCTCCTCTGGGATCTCAGCCTTCATTCTAACAAACACTTATGCCTAGTTCCTGAGGGACTTGCACACTAAGCTCAGCTTTGCTCGAATCCTCACCCTTGCCAGCCTTCCTTTTCTTAGAAAAGGTTAAAACCCATTTGAATCCCAAGCAACCAGTCAAAACCTTCCTGAACAAACTCCCAAAGATAGATAGCAGCGTGCTAGAGAAACCTCCTGGTTCTTGATGCAGAGCTGAGAGGGGGACAATATCACAGGGGGTAACAGAAAGACCCGAATCATAATGAATCACTGAACAACCGACGCTCAGAAAAAAGAAAGCTTAGAAGTATTCATAACATCTTTTGTTGGCTTTGTTGCTGTGCTTTAGATTCAAGTCCCAACCCAGCAAAGGGTTTATGCACATAAGAGCATATTCCCACCAAACCCATGGGACTTCTTACATACCAATACTTAGTCATTTAAATACTGTTCTGGAAATGGGAACTTACTACACAAAGTGATAGAAAACAAGTGGTGCTAAAATCAGTTTTGTGACATTTTAAATAAAAAGTGACATACACAGTGCCTAGGTCCCGTATTTAATTTTATAGACTGTACAACATTCCCATTTTACATTAGTAAAAAACAAGATGTATGATTTATCTTAGATTGTTTTTTCAGTACAAGAGCATCCTTCAGACTTAACGATTTCAAAATTATTTGAAATGCACCTTAGTAAGTTCTCCTTAAAGAAGGATTTCAAAATCCACTGATCATTTCTGTCACAAAGCGCATTTACTGATAAACTAACAATTTATTCTTCAAGTGTCTGAACTGTATTCGTAATCAAGCTTAGTCACATGCTATTTAGACACAGTATTCACACCCAGTTGTATTCCCCTGTAACTTAGCACCACCAGACAACACAGGGTGTGCCACAACGGTGCAGAGTAACATGTCAGAGCTTTATTTCAGAACTGCAGTGCTGAACCCAAACACCTGCGCAAAGGGCAATACAGAGAAGCAGCAGTTCAGCAGCAGAGCAGATATCACCACCAACTGTGCCTTTGCAAAACTCAGACAAAGCCTGTGAAGGTCAACCATACAACTGCCATATGTGAAAACTATAGTTAAAAAGCAAGAGCAGAAATACCAAACAGAATCATTTAGGTTGGAAAAGACCTTTAAGAGCATCCAGTCCAACCATTAACCTAACATTACCAAGTCCACCACATCAGACTTCATGCACAATGAAAGACATCTGCCTCAGCCCTCCCGCCAGTGACAACTGCTCCACCTTTTAAATAAATAACCATAAGGTTGTCAGACAACAATGATTGCCCCTTCTGCATACAAGGGAAGTCACAGAAGGAGAGAGCCACCTGAAAACCACCAAGAAGTGGCAGTAATAAGAAACAGCTCACACAGAACGAATCCATGGCAACTTCAAACAACGGCTTTTTAATAAGCAGATACCTCATATCCAAGAACTTTAACTCTCCTTAGTGCAATTAGAAATTGAAACACACGAAAGAAAACTATTTCAAACAATTTGACAAGAGTCCTAGCAAACATGACTAGATAAGGAGACCTACACACTCAGATTTCAGGTCTTTCCTATGCCATCACATTTAGGTAAATGGCAACGACCTGGTAGCAAAACGAAAATCTTTTTTCTTTTTTTTCTTTAAGGGAATATGCCTTTCTACTAAATGTTTCATTCTTTGCCAGTGCAGAGAATAAATATAGGTATCACACAAACAGTAACAGAAAGGCCATCAGCTAGCAAAAAAAAAAGTTTTTTTTTCTAAATAAAAAAAATTAAAAAAACCTGGTAATAATAGCACTATCGTGAGTTAAGAAAACCAGGAAAATAGCTGTATGGGAAATTCCAGAATCCACCAGGAAAGAGAAAGATTAAGACACACTAGCACCCTTTCACAATCTTCACTGACCTTCTGTTGCTCTCCTTTAGTACAAATAACTGCATTAGTAGGTATCCAAAGCACTAAAAAGGGAACGGTCATAAAACTGAAGGGAAAACTTTTGGAATTACTTTGGGATTTGGGGTACACTACCTGCAGCATAATTAGTTTTAAAAATCATGTTAAGCCTGACTTTGTCATAAAATACTTTCATTCTTCAGTGTACCTTTACATTTTTGTGCTTTAGCACGATCGGGTTTAGCAACACCACATTTAGCAATCCTAAAAGTTCAGAGTTTTTCAGCCTTCAAGTGCCCTACTGCGCCCCAGGGATACAGGAGCAGGGACGCATTTCCTTTGGCAACAAAACTGGGACTCCCGCCTACTATGGAAAATTTGTTCTGGTTTCAACCATTCTTACTAAGCTTGAATGTGGTTAAAGTTCCATTTAATAAAAGGGCACAACATATGATATACTTAAACATAAAAGTGAATGTTTCATAGCCACTTGGGATTTTCATAGATACCAACAGTTCATCACTTCCTCCTTTGAAAAACATATTTTGATTGTTTACCTTGGTCCTTATTTCAAGCACAAATTACCTCAATCATTTCTATGGACCTTGCTAGCCTTTCCATAAAGAAATGGGATAAATATACATCAGCCAAAAAATTACACAACTATTCTAGTATGCTTTCCCCTGACAATCATTTTTACAAATATACAAACTCCACTAAACCCTCAACCTGTTTTTTGTTTAATGAGACAGGTCTTCCTCCAGCTGCTTTTCACTATCTGTTTAGGATGCCTGTAAGGCGTAGGATCAGGCTCCATTTTGGTTTTCCTACAGAAGATATTTTTCTAATACCACCCTTAGAATTTCTTTTTGCCAGCTGCAGGCAGAGGAGAATGATAGAAGTTCTTGTACATAGAGTCACCTTAAATGTATTGCAAAGTGTCAGACAGTTTTACGTATCTAACAAATCAAATTCCCTGAAAAAACATTACGTAAGAACACTGGAGTTTCTTAATCATGAGTTTACCTTTCCCTTAACTGTTCTCAGGATGATCTCTTATTTCCCTGAAATGCTTTCCCATAGCTATTGTAACACACATAAGTTTCATTACTTTGTTTCCAATGACAATGAAAGAAACTTTTCCTTATTTTTCCATGCGGAACAGCAGAGAAGATAGTCAGTCAAATACATTTATTAACAAAATAACGATTTGTTACTACTTACATTGTACTGCATACGATGCCAGGACAACAGCAGAATTAATGGGGCATGACAACCTGGAAAGAGGGGAAAATATTTTTATTCAGACATAGACTGTATAAATGTATTGTTAACAAAGTCTCTGCAATTAGTTCAGTATGGGAAGATTCATTTATCTGCAAAGAGCATCTGATTTTTATCTTACAAAGTTTGATTGTCAAAGCACGGTAGGACTGGACATTAAAATTTAGTTGCTGTGTAACAGCTTCTTAAGCAAATGGAAGTAACTAGTCCTAAAAGGACATGCTCATATTCTTGCTGGATGCTTATTCGGGAAAGCAAAAGGAGAAGGGATTTTTATGGGTCTCTGCACATTATTTTAATAGCTGCAGCTGGTGTATTTAAAACTAGACACAAACACTAAAATTAGCCAAATGCCAAGCACAAAGACAGCTCTGATCTCATGACCAAAACCGACCCCATAGAAGAAAAAAGCTAACACCTAAAGGCAATTTACATTTGGCAGCAAATACTCAGACCACCTTTTTCCTCCATTTTTAAAATGTACAAACACACAGGAATCTCAGGCAAAGGAACAACTGGGTATACACCCACCATATAGGGAATATAACCCTGAAATCACGAGAAATGATAGCATGAACTGCCCTTTGCTACCCCCTCCTGATTACTGCACTAGACAGCAGGTCCTCACGTTTGGAATAACGTGCCTGGCACACCATGCCTTGCATAAAGATCTCTCAGGTTGACATTGTACCTGCAGACACACAGCATCTCCTATAGCTCGTTCACAACAGGCTTCTAAATTGTTCTTAATAAGTGAGCTATGTGAAAATTTGTAACATTTCCTAGCCATTTGATTTTCCTTTAAAGCAATATTTCACAAGGTACATTTTTATAGCAATGATACCCTCAGAAAAAGGCTTTTTTGGGGTTGTGGGGTTTTTTTCCCTTAAATTTTATTTTAAAAAGAATTGTAGAGAAATTGAAGATCCCTCTTATTACCTTCCTTCCACAATATCAGTCTTCAATTGCAGGAAGAATAAGTGCCTAGAAAATTTTTTTTTAAAACAAACAAATAAACATACATTTATTTTCACATTTAAAAGGTATGGTTTAAATGGCTACATGCATTAGAATAATTTTGTATAGTTTTCCAGGAAATCTAATAATCAGATGAATAAAGCTTAGTGGCATTTACAGCTATGCAATCATAACACCCACTCACTCTCACAACAGTTTTAAAGATCTTTGGCAGCCTGTACTACAACTCTAGGACCACAGTATTGATGCCACAGCAAACACTACAAGAACCAAACCATGGCAGAACCGGGCTCTCTTTCTACCAGGAATACTCATCTTGGATGTTACTTTAAAAAAAAAAAAACACAACAAAAAAAACCCTACCCAACAAAAACCCCCACCACAGAAAAACCCCATCAAAAAACAACAACAAAAAAAACACCACACCAAAAAACAACCCTAAACTGTGATAGTCTATCTTGGAACCACTCCATGGAAGATGAGACATTTCTCAAGTAGCATACGCTGACAAAAACACACTTCAACAATTCTCCAAGGGCAGTTCAGTCTTGCTTTTATTAGTGTGACAATGTTACTTTATAGTGATACTGGAGAGTTGCAATGTGAAAAACCATAAAGAACAGATCTTTGAATAATTTCAGTTTAAAACTGCAGAACAGCCTACAACTGCATGATTAGCAAATACCAAAACAAGTCAATAGCTAAGTTTTCTACAAGAAATATCATTTAACATGCTGTACTACTTATATTCTCAAGTCACCAAAATTAACAATGAAAATTTTACAATAATGTTACAAAAATGCCAGATTAATGGCTGCCTGTGAATTCTAAATTCCAAATCATGTGCACTGAATAAAACAAGCAGTTAAAGCCTTGTGACAAATTAATTGAAAATTGCTTATAATTCATGTACCCCACCACCCCAAAAACTCAGAGATGGGTAAAAAAAAGAAAATTGTAAAAGGTCTACTATGAACTGAAGCGTTACGGATATCTGCATGTTACAAGTAATGGGCAAACTAGAAAACCAGAACAATTATCTGTTCTTCCTGAAACAAAATAAACCCCACCCTCCCACACCCTTGGCACTAAATCTAATACACGTGTTCAAAACTGACTCAGTGTTGATACAAAACTTCTAACATGGACTTAGGGCATGCAGACAGCTTAATCATTGAATTTCCCTATTTTTCATTCATTGCATCCGATTAAGGAATCGGAAAAGGAGAAAAAATGCAACAGGCAAGTACTTCAAGTGACAAAGGGCTCAAAACAAAAAGGAATCCAAAGTGCAAATAAACCAACTGCCATCTTTGTACTAGCTTATTCTCTGGCTGTATTTTGGAGTTGTAGGCTGTGTATAGACAAAACCATTCATTATGAGCATCACATCAAGCTGCCAATTCCAAACACATTTAGTACATAAAGTTATACAAAGTTATCTACCTAATAAGCATAGTTTGCCAAGCTGTGGAGATGAGAAAGAAGGGTTTTACACATTCTTAGTTCATGGAAGTAAACATCAAACAGAAGTTACCTGGTTTGTTCTTGCTGAAGTGTGTTAGGATCAGGTATAAAAAACCTTACACGAAAACGAAGAGTGCAGGGAAAACCTCCTGCAATATTTTAGAAGAGCAAATCAATTTTTTGTTCAGAAAAAGAAAGAGCCCAATGTTTTTATTTCTATATTTATAGAAAAATTACATGAACCACCACATAGAAATCTCATGTGTTTTTCCCCATAAAACTAAAAGAAACCACAAGAAGTCTCTCTTGATCCAACACCAACTATGAGAAGAAAATACTCTCAAATATGGTGATGCTTTCATTTAAAGTACTTTGTATATGCTACTTTACATAAAAGGCATTAGTTATCCTTGCCTCATAGGTATTAGAAGAGAAAAAAGCAGCAAACATATTTGAAGCGTCTCAATTGGGATAATGCTCAATTCAATCTTACATACAAATAAAAGAAATTAACAGAAGTTCACCATGTTAGTTTCATGTATTTTTATTTCAATTCATACACAATCTATACCATACGGTAGAAATAAGAGAGCTGAAAAACATAGCTCATTTCACAGCACAAATTGAGACAGTGTCACTCAGTCCTCCTAAGCTGCTGTCTGGCAGGGTCACACTGGCCATGCTGTGCTTCTTGGTAAGCATTCGGTGTTACTCAAAGCTGTTTATAAACATGACATTCTAGAACACCACATGCACTTGGAAGTGTGTAGTGTTGGTTTTTTGTTTGGTTGGTTTTTAATAAAAACAAGCATAACATTATTTTTTTTCTTCTACTTGAGAAAAGAAACTGCCAGAACATACACATGAAACTGGCTCCACTTCCCTTGATCAAAACCTCTCCTCTATCTTCCCTATGAGGAGGAATTTACTGGCACCATGATATGACTACTGCTTTCACGGCCATGATGTCCAACACCTTTCAGAAGCCAGATTTAGATGCTAATACAGCATCAAAGTTAGTGACCTACAAGGTCTTATTAGCCCTCAGGTAGCAGTAAGAGATGTAGAAAGCTCTGCTGAAAAGACTGGCAGAGGTTAAGACTTGCTGTTAAAGAAAATCTACCATCTGGACACATTAATTTACAAGAACTGTATTTATTCTAATCATAAGGACACAAAAAAGCAGGACTACACAGTTACAATCAAGATATTAAAAAACAAGTCTTACCTTTTAACTGCTTTCTAATAGGTTTGTTTGGTTCAAGCCATCGCTGTGAAATGAAAAACTATTAGATGGATTAAAAATATTTACAAATAAATACTGTTTATTTATGTGTATGTGCATGTATATGTGTGTATACCTACATGTGTATATATACATATACATATATACATGTATACACATGTAGGTATACACACATATACATGCACACACATTTATTATTTACTATACTTACAGGTGAATCTACTGAAGTTTCATTTTGCTGTAAACCAAAATATTCCTTTTCCATCACACCCAGCTGGTTATAGGTCATATCCAACAAAATCTGTCCAGTGTCTTGTTTCTGAAAACAAGAAAACTTTAGAAGTGAAACTCTGCAACACTTACACATTTTAAGATACAATTAACTGAAGTAAATTTGTTTAAAAAAAAATGTAACTCATGAATAAAAATAGCTGCTAATTCATTGGTTCAAAGTTTCTCATTTATTCTGATAGAGGTACCTTTTTTTTTTTTTAAAGGGGCTTTCTTTTCAAAATACATTAGGCATGTGAAATCTTATAATATGAATTGACTTGAACTCAAGTCCTTGAGGTCAGTCCAGCAATTTAATTTCAAGCAGACAACCTCTTCCTTGACCACAGTCTTTAGGAGCAATGATATTCTCCAGAGCTGTAGCCTGCAAGGATGGCTTACAGCCACACAGGGCTGCTCTGGCCCCTGCTGTCACCACCAAAGCAGCACGCTCCCTTTCCATGTCAGCTGTCAAAAAGCAAAGTTAGTATACACTAGGATGGGGAAAAAGAAGTAGGAAGATGCTGTACTCCAGCCATAAGATCCTGTACTTCAGCCTGAACTCCGACCTGCCCCTCAGCCTCCACATGCTCAAGATGCCATTCAGCCACCCCACTTTCTGCCTAGATGTCCCTCAAGACGGGTATCACAGAAGAACTGGTGCAACAGGGAATTACACAGGCAGCAGAGATCCAGAGCATATGCATGGTATAATTTTCCCAAACAAGTATCTCCATGCCATGGCATTGTGGAGAGCAGATTAACCAATTTCTGCAAAAGAACACTGTGAACCAATTCTATTAAAAAAACCCAACCACCAAAAGAAACAAACAAAAACCCCTCAACAAGATTGCAGTCCTAAATATGCTAATATGTAATAAATAGTTTGCAAAGCTGTATAGCATTTCAGGTCTAGATTTTTATACACAAGATTGCTGGACAGAACAAAATCAGGCCAGTTAGGATCTTGCCTATTCAAAAAATGATAGCAAACTAATTTTTCATATGATCTTCCAAATCTCACTCTTAAAAGCAGAAATAAACTGCACACATGCAAAAAAAAAGTTTTTACCAGACAAAAATTATTTAGACTGCATAAGACAAACAAGCACTTTGCTCTGAAACAAATTTCTTAAAATTTAAGTTCTGATTTAATTAAGTTTTGATTTCTTAAACAAATTTCTTAACTTCTTAAACAGTCTCTTGAAACAAAGGACTTAATGCGTAAGCATGATAATGACCTCATTTTTGTGGATGTGTATTCAATTCTCTTTGAATACTGTATTCGATTCTCTTTGTTTAGACTTGTTTATTATACAACACTCAAGCCCCGTTCAGAAGACAGATTTATCTCTTTTTTTTTTTTAAACAGGGTACCACACTGTAGTAATTGAGTGTTTTAAATAGTAACATATTTCATAGTCTTCCCTTATCACATAAAAGCATTCTTCCTATTTAAAAGATGGGAAAAGAACAATGATTCAAGCAAAAGACACCCACTTGGCTACCTTATTTTGGAGGACAAGTCACATGAAGAAAACAACGTAGGCAACACTTGACTGTCTTATGTCTGAGACTGCCCTTTCCCCTCCAACAGTCTCCCATCTTGTTTAACTTCCACAGCAAACAGTTGAGGTCTCGCAATAAATGCAAGTCCACTCAGGCCTGTAAGCCTGTGCGGCCATCAGAAGCAGCAGCTCTGTCCCCTCCTTCTTCCCCAGCTGCACACTCCTACTCCCCTCCTTATGAACAGGCTACTGTTCCTTGGGATATTCAAGCCACAGCACTGATCAAACCCCATTTGTTTCTGAAATAGCATAGACCTAGATCCAGCTTAGAAACTGAAACCTCGGTGTCAGGTGAAGACTACATGACCAAGCATTCCTTGTCACACACAGCCACGGTGCCGTGCATCTGTCAGGCAATTCTGTCCAGCACCATCAGTGAGGTGGGCTCCGCTACGCAGACTGAGATTTGCTATCAGAGATTATCCATATATGTACACAAGAGGGCCCTATGAAAACAGCAGATGCCACCTTAACCCTCTGAAATAATAGGCATTTCCTGACTTGAAGATGTTCATCTTTAGCACCGCCTTACTATACATACCATATTCATTTCCCCAGGGTTGTGTTTTTATGAGCAGAATGTTTAAAAAACTTTCAAGTGACATCACATGACAACTGCACAACTCAGAGTCATAATTGCACATCTATGGCACATACTTCTGACACGAGCTAAATGAGCAATTGCAGTTATATTGCGAGCAAAACCAGTAATTACAGGGGATGAGACATACACTTTATTGAAAGAAAGTGTTCGGGCATCTGAAGTTTCATTACAAATGGGGCAGGAGAAGACCACAGAGGGCAGATTCTTCTCCTCATTTTCTCTCTGAATTTCAACACTTCTGACTCCTTTCAGTCTCCTTTCTTTGCAACAGCATTATCTCCCATAAATCTCCTAATCCCTTCTCATTTGTCATGCTTCTGGTCCTTCATTCCAATTCAGATGCCCCTACCTTCTCTCTCCCCACCCTCTCACAATTGCACTCCTCCTTCTGCCCCCGGCACACATGAATTGCTAAGCCTTCTCACTGCTTCCCTGTGACAACAAGCAAGCTCCCTGCTACAATATTCTTGCTCAGCAGTCACAGTTCTCTGCAGTGTTCCCATGGGTGTCCCAACCCTAAACCCAGCTGCTCAGCCAGTACTAGTCTCCTCCACCTACATACCTACTATTTCCTTCTCTTCCTCCTCTCCACATTTCCTATCAAAAGCAATTTCCAACACCACTTTTCTGTGGCTCCAGTTCTTGCTCACTGGTATTAAAAGCACAAAGTTTCTTCCACAGTGCCTAGATCCACTCCAGAAACCTAAGCTAAGTACAAAATGTCATTTTAAACTGTTCAAATCATCTTCAGTTGTTGAAATTCCGCCAAAGTTGTAGGTTTTTGTTGTTTTTCCTCAAAAATTTATATTTACTCAGCTTTGGCTTTGTTTTAAGAAACACCTGAATTATTTTTCAGCCTATATACCTCAAAATAGTTACCACACAGCTCACGCTGCACAATCCTCAATCTATTTTGCACATAAATAGTTTTGAGATCTAGGTGTAAAGTGAGGCAGGCTAAGCATGTCACATCACTGCTTTTGAATTTTGACATCCATTCCAATACAGTCCATAGCCACAGTGTACTCTAACACTACAATGTGTCAAGTGCTTTACACCACATTGTGTTTTCACTCCCCTCTGCCATAAGAAGAGGGTAAAACAACATGAACACCGCTCAGCTAAACTGGGCATTAGAACCAAGTTCTCCTTAACCCTGTCAACCATTACAGCAAGTAGTTAAGACATTCCTAATAAAGCTCTTGCCTTTCAACAATGAGGCAAAAAAGTTATGCACTTTCCACACTAGACTATCCTGTTACAATGACACAAGCTCTTAAGATAATCTTAAGAATTTTAAAGTTTTTTCTACCAAAAAGGAACATTCCCAAGAGGTTTGCTTGTTTCCACCCTGAAATAATTTCCATTTATTTCATCTTCCTGACATCTACCAATCCTTATTCTGAACTGTTAAAAGCTTTGCATCAACCACCTCATAACCACACACCATTCACCTCCTTTAAATCTGCCTTGAACTATATTTCACCTTACGTTGGATAGACCAAAAGTTAATATTTAAAGCAGTCATAACTAACACCTATTACATTCTGCCTGTGCCACAACAATTTCCTGCTATATTTAGGGAATTCAGATTAGTCAAGTTTAATTTCTAGTAAGCTACATGATTTTTGAAGAGAAAGAACACCTTCATTGTTTTTAATGTCAAGTACTGCCTAGAAGCTGGGGTGAACAAGACCCACTGTCCCAAGAACTGCATAAACATAACTGAAGACCGTTAGTTCTTTGGAGTGGAGGCGTAAATATGCGAGTAATCCTTTTCAGCTTGTTAACTTCTCCGAGGTAAGTGGTACAAAGTGACACCTTAAGAGGACAGTGCAACATACAGCACATCTCTGTCCCTCCCCTCTGCAACAGCTTTGCCCTCACTTTCTGGCAATGATAACCTCACAGTTAAGCACCACCTAAGCTTTTGCAAATTCAGTCGCACTTCAGACACAATACCCATTGCCCCCTCATGTGCTGTTCGAGGTCATCCTTTCCTAATTTAGCCTCTAACAGTCATCCAGATTCAGACAGCCTGTGTCCTTTGGTCCCAATATGCCTATGAGCTTGAACAAAGTGCTACACTTCCTTTTAATTTCCACACTAATTTTACACACAGCTAATTTATTTGCTCTTCTGCTAACTGTCCTTTTCTCTTTCTGGATTTTATTTACTCACCTGATGCTCTTCTTCAGAGCATGCAAGATTTTGTTTAGCTAGAATAAACAGAACAGCCTCTTCTTTCCTTAGGTCCAGACTTTTGCAGAACTCCCTAGTTGTACTTTCTATGCCTACCTGCCTGGAACTTCCCTCTTTTGTCTGCAAGTAGCCAGGATCCACACGTGACATTCCCCAGAGGATGGCCTCGATGCCAAGACTAACACTGCTAATACTTCTTTGACATTGGCTGAAGATTCCTGCCTGGTGCATAACAGCACTCACCTTTTTCAGAACAAAAACACATGAACAGCTCAGCCTGCAAACTACCCGTGTTCTCCTCCTCTATTGTCTGCAACTGAAAATTGAGCTTAAACCCCACCCCCCCAAAAAACCACCTTTACCTCATCTTATGAAAGCTATTAGTTTACATTACTGATTTCCCTCACTGTGATTGCTCCTTGTTCAAGATAACTTATCTACCTCTTATTCCTGTATCTTTTTTATTGTTGATAATGCCTCAAACCTTACATTTTTGATTTACTGAAAAAGATTCAATAGCAACATGTTAATGAAATTTGACAGTCAAGAACTCTATTAATGTCCTTGCACTGTTTCACATTTCCTTTTCAGCAAGATCTACTGCCACCTCTTGAGCCAACTCCCTGCCCATCCCATAACTCTTCTGGATTCCATACGCTCCAGCTCAGTGTTTTC